CCCTTTTTTTTTTTTGTTTAGCTCAGTTACAAAAGAAAGAAGTCTTGTGACTCTGATTGAAAACTTCTATCGACCCCCCCCGCCCCCAATAAGTGCAACTGAAGAAGGTGCGATAAAACATTTAAACTATATACAGCAGCTGCTCAGACACCGTCCACCCGGCCCGGCTTGCAATTCAAAAAAAAATTGTTTTCTTGGTTGCAAATTTTTTCTTTCATTCGCAACTGTGAGAAACAGTGACCAGCAAAGTCCCCCAGACACAAATTTGCTATAATGGTTAAAAGCTGCCAGGAAAGGAAAGGAAAAAGAAAAAAAAAAAATCTCTTGTTCCAAATGACTTAAGAACTATTTTAAGGAGTGTAAAAAGGAACCGGTAAAAACCCTCGAGCAGAAAATATGAAATATGGTTTTGGTTTAAATGAAGAGCAAAGTCTCCTTGTTGTTTACAGTAAAAAACACCAGCTGAACACTCAGTTTATGCCGTTCAGGTGGGGGGTAAATAAATGGAAAGGCACTGTATGGCAACCGCAAGATGAACCAACGAGACCTGCGCATCCACCGCCAGTATTGCGAGGAATGTAAAAAAAGCACTTTTAATAAATAAACCTAGATGTAGGCATCGTGTCAACACCTTCTGGACACGTAGTTTTTTTTTGTTTTTTTTTTTGTTTTTTGCTTTTCATCGGCAAAATGAGGAACTAAAACCTGGGAAAACTACAGAGTCGCCTGGAGGGTGGGAGCCAGAGGGTCCTTGCCCCGGCCCAGCCCCTGGAAAACAAACCTGACAAAACTCATTGTGCATTAATTGGTGCAGAAACAAAGACAGACTCAGCAAGTGCAAAGGTGACTGCGATCTTCCCTCGTCCTTGGGAAGCCAGCTCCCTGGTCGCCGGTGGCCTGGTGGTGCAGGCCGCTGCCTGACCTGCCAGCCTCGAGGGCCACGGCCGCCAGGCGAGGCCGGCTCCTCTAGCTGGAGTCTCGGCTCTTCTGGTTCCGCATGAGGGGCCTGTGGTGGCGCAGGTCCTCTGAGCTGTGCCGCCAGTGCCAGCAGCTCCGGCAGAAGTACTTGAAGCACACCTGGCGTGGGGAGAAAGAGAGAGACAGGGCTCTCCTGTCAGCACAGGCCAGCTTGTGGGGATTCCTGGGGCCTCCGTGGGGACAGAAGGGAGGGTCCCGGGAACACTCACACCCCTAACACAGGCCTGACCGACCAGGCAAACCCACTGTGTTCCTGCAGGTGCCCTGACTTCATCAAACAGGCTGGGCTCCCACTGTGTACAGAGACCATGCAGCTCTCCCGCCCACAGCTGCTTCTCCAGTCCCCTGCCCTCCTCCTGCCCACAGAGCCACTGCATCACCCGGCCGCTAACATGCAAGAACGTCTGGAGACAGTGCCGCAGACCCCATTGTAGACAGCACACCTTCCTCTTCACCTGAAGTGTGGACAGGTGACAGCCCCTTGGTCTCCATCCCACCTCCTGCTCTGAGCTGTGTAACCTCTGACAAGCCACTGACCTCCAGTGCCCAGGGGACTCACCTGATCTCGACAGAAGAAAGGGCCGGGCTGAGTACTGCAGATGTGACACAGAGAATCCTCTAGGTAGGGGTCAATCTGAACCTGCACAAAGCAAACGGCAGAAGGAAGTCAGGCTCCCAACATTTGCGGGTCAAACACCAGAGCCACAGAAGGCACCCCGAAGGCTGAGAAGGCTCAACAGCCCCACCCCCTTGTCTCCTGAGTCACCAAGACCAGGCCCACCCCCAGACCCCAACCCCCAGGAGTCCCCAGGGGCCTAGCTCCCTCCCCTGGCACAACCAGCACAGGTGCCGCTCCAGTCTCAGGCCTGCCCTGGGTAGTGCCTGGCCCAGAGGAAGGACAAGAATAGCCCACTCACCTTCTTGGTGAACTTGGTGGTTTTGATCTCCACAAAAGCAGCGCTGACAGCGTTCAGGTAACTGCGCTGGTTACTGAAGGTCACACGACCAGACCCTGTTGTGGGGACAAATGAACAAGTTCACTCCTGGCCCATCCTCTCTAATGTCACCTATCAACACCCTGTTTCCAGACAAATGATGTCCAATAGGAATGTCATGTGAACAGCTTATGTAATTTTAAGTTTTCTAGTGGCCACGTTTAAGTGGGGGGAAAGGTAGAATTAACTTTAATATATTTTATTTAACTCAATATATCCAAAATCTTATTTCGACATGGAGCACTAGCCACACGTCAAGCACTCAGCAGCCACGTTCAGCTGGTGGCTTCTGTAGTAGACAGCGTGGTTACAGGCAGGCCAGGCCATGATAGCACAAACCCAACAAGGAGGGGGAAGGATTTGCTGACCGACATGGGGAGAGAAGAGAGTCCTCTGGTGTAGGCAGGTGCACACATAAGATTAATTTTTTTTTTAATCCTGACCTGGGCTCTGACCCTACCCAGAGGCCACTTTTCAAGAGCACTTACTAAACGAAGCCAGGCACGTTCAGAAAAGCACCAGCCGGCCTCTGAATGAAATATGACCTATTGTCTGTCCCAGACAGTTTGGCTCTGAGTTTCCCACCCGAATTCCTGTCTCATTCTTGCCTCCTAGGGTTTCCTACCACTGTGTGTTTTCCCCTGCACGGGAGGTGGAGGGAGATGGGTGCAGAGGGGTCAACCCTGGTGGCCCATCTAGAAAAGCAGGCCATGCTGCAGGTATGCATCCATCTGCAGACCTGGGTCAGGCCCCCCCACTCGCTCCCTGGGGAAGTACCACAATCTTGGGCTGCCTCTTTGGGGGCCCCCCCACGCCTCCCCACACAGAAGTGGGACACTCACCTATGGGATACTTGTGCTTATCCGTGTCGATCCCAGCGTACACCACTCCCCCGAACAGGTCATTCAGGATGGCCGCCAGGGCCTCGGCGTTGAGCATCCCATGCAGAGCGCCCACAAACACTGTCCTGCTGGGGTCCAGTCTCTGAGATGGGCTCCGGACAAAGTTGCTGTCGGCCAAGACCCAAGGGACCACTTGTACCTGAAAACCACCCAGAGGTGTGTCACCTGGCGGGCAGGGAGCCAAAACAGAGGCTCTTGTATGGAGAGGCCCAAGACTCTTGTATGGAGAGGCCCGAGCTCCTGGCAACACTGGGGCTGGGCTGCCAAGGCCTGAATGGCAGGTAGGAATGTGCTGTCACCCAGGTCAGGCACACAGGCCTCCCTCACCCCAACCAACTAGAGTTGAGTTTTACTGAGTCCATGTGTCCAAATGGTGAAAGCAAGTGGTCGGACAGCAGTCACCCATCCTGAACAGCAAGCAAAACAGTACCCAAGGGTCACACCCAGGAACTCAGCCCTGTGATTCCAAAAAAGGGTCGCGGACAGGGACGCACAGAGGGCGAGGTCTAGAATCCCTGGGACAGGATTCACAGGGAAACGTAAGGATAGGAGCTGGGAGGCAGAGGGTGGGATGCTTAAGGTGTTTGCATGAGATGGTCACTGGCCCAGTGTGCCGGAGGCAGCAGGAATGACTGAGACAGGCAGATGGTCAGTCACTGAGGGCTCCCAGGACAGAGTAACACCAAGGCAGGAGCTAACCACGTCTCTGCCTCTGAGTCCCGAAAACAAAACCCAGCAGAGCAAACAGGAGACTCCCCAAGTGGAGAACTACACAGGGAGCAGAGCCTGAAGGGAGAGAGGCAGTGACCACGGTGGGGGTAGGGGTGGGGCAATGACTACGGAGTATACACACCACAGGTCAGGTGGCTGAGACAGTTTGATCCCCATGGGCGGGAGAAGCACACACATACCATCAAGGTCCAAAGGTGTTTTGTGTGTTTTTTAATGTAATTGAGAATATTTTGCTGATTTGCTGTGAGGCAGGAGCAGCCTCCTTGCCTCAGTAGGACAGTCACCTGCAGCCTGCGTGTCCCCCCGCCCCAAGGAAATCATGGTCTCAGGTCAGCGGCCCGGCCCCAGAGAGGACACGGTGCCAGCTCACCTCCTTGCAGCGCATCCTTCGGCTGGACATCCTGAAGTAGTACTCGCTCAGGCCATTGGGGCTCAGCGGGTCATGAGAGCAGGCCTGCAGCAAGGCCCGGACTGACTTCTCCAGCTCGAAGACCAGATACACGTACCCTGTTCCCAACGAAAGGGGAAAATACATCACCATCCCTCAGCGGCTACTCCTCAGCCCTGGTTCTGCAGCTGGAGGTGGCTTCCAAGAGAGACAACCTCATGCGTAAGACACAATCTTGACCTCCTCCTGGGAAGTCTGGTTGAATGGAGCACCCACTCTACCTGATGCCCAGGTCAAGAAAAGGAGACACATCCATCTCCCACCCAAAGAGGGGGAGGGGTTGGCAAGGCAGGACACAGACTTGTCATACCCACAGCTCTTGGCCCAGGACATAGGGCATGTGTAGGTCAGCCAGGTTGAGCTCTCCTGGCTGGAGGGATGAGAGGTCTGTGGTCTCCCCCGGGGCGGGGGGGAGGTGCTGCTCTAAAAGCCTAGTTACCACACTGGTCCAGTTCACCAGAACATTCCCAGGGAAGATGGGACAGAGTGAAAATAGCACCCGCTCCTTTCTACAGGGAAGGGATCTCATTTCAGACCAGTGAGGAATCAGAGGCTCGGCCCTCGTTCCTGCTAACTCCAAAGGGACCTCAGAATTGGGTCAGACAACAGCGCAACCAGGCAGGGAGGGCAGGCAAAGGGGAGCTTTTCCAATGCCTTGTTTTGAGAGGAGAGAAGCTGTGGGGGGCCTAAGTTTTGGGGGAAAGTTAATAGGAAGTTCCACACTGGGGTTCCAGAGGCCACTCTAACTGCAGGTCGGTTTGGATGGACAGAAGGACCATTAGCTCAGAAGAACAGAGAGGTGTGCTCGTTGGGGGAGGGGGGGCAGTGCTCACAGGGGAAAGCTGTGTGCTCCCGGTGCCCGCACCATGGTGCCCGCATGCAGCGGTGACACCCTGGCACCCCGCCGTGCACCACGTGCCGAGGAAGAGAAAAGCGCCTACCGCGTCTTCATTACCTTTCGGCATATTACCTTTGGGAGGGCACCGGGGGTGCTTGCCATCCTTACCGGGCCACTCCACACTCAGAGAGCCGAAAACACGGAAGGTGTTAACCAATCCAGCTGCAGAGAGATGGGGAAGGAGGACAGACACTGAATGAAGCACGGGCTCCCCAGGAGGCAGAGCACAGGCTCAGGGGCTCTCCCAGGCTCATTCCCCCCCCTCTGCCCCCCCCCCC